CTTCTGGAAGTCTGGAAATGGGCCTGTTTCTGGCTTCTGGTGGGACCTCCAGAGCCCGGGGAGGCCATTTTCACCCTCCCAAGAGGCCCAGGGAAAGCCTTCAGACTCTTGGAAAGGCAAAAAACAGCCCTCCCGGAAGTTCCAGTAGGCCACGCCCACCCAGCAACCAGGCAGCCAACCAGTTGCTCGGATTTTTGAAGCCACCTGTACCTGTTAGCATTTCTGGTTCTTATTCCCATTTTTGAATTAGTTTTTGTCTATTGCTCTGAAAATATACCATTGTAAAGTAGGGTAGAAATACTGTCAATCAAATAAATATACCTGCTCTGTTGTAGAGCGGTGGAATAACCTGAGGCGAACACGGAGCGAACTTCAGCTTTTACCGTATCGTAACAATAAAGGCTTGCCGCGGCTGCCGCGCTAACAAGGCAGCCAGCTGGCGGACAGCAGCTGATGCCGTTTGACAGCTCCCTTTTATAGGCGGCTGTCAAACGGCATCAGCCAATAGGAACGGTCCATGTTCCTGCTGGAAACATGGACCTGAGTGAAGACTTCAGCTCAGTCTTTTCCAAACGCCACACTGCTATTGATAATGGGTACCTATCGGACAGATACTTGTTTAAAGACTCTCTTTTACAACATTGGAAGCAGTGAAAAGGTTGCGCTAATTTTTAAAATTATTATGTTTGAAGGTTTTGGATAGAGATGACAGATGAGTAAAATAAGAATATATTTTCAGTGGAAAGCAACGTTCTCCTTTGAATCTGTTTTCAATTATCCCTACAGCTGTTAATGCACTCAAAATACAAAATGCATGAAGTTCAATCGTATTTCCCCTAACAATATGTTTCTTTATTTTCTGTACTTCTCCAAGTTCTGCATATTTCCAAAGTCCTCTGATCCATTCTTTTTGTACTGTGATTTTCACTAGTTTGAATCTTTATTCTTTGCCCCTTACTTGAAAACACTGGCAAGAAAGGTGTTATTTTTCTTTTAAGCTGCATGCAAGGCAGAAATACAGCACAGAATGTGAGAACAAAATGACAACCCGATTAAATTTACTTACACTGAGGTGGGGTGTGGGAAAGGGACAAGAACAAGATGCAAATCTTGGTGCTAATTAACTTCTTTTCAAGGTTTGCAGAGTGTCTGCTCTGCTTTACTTCCAAAAGCTATATTTATCTCGGTGGATAACTCTGTCGTTTGCAGGTGAATTCTAAATTTCATTTAATTTGCCTCTGTATCCTGATGGCTGAAGAGAAACTTAACACCTTAATTGCCCTAACTCACTGTGTCTTACTTTCTTTCACACGTTTCGGATGCATAAGGCCACTTCGTGTAGGATTAAAAAGGTGTTTATTTGGTGGGTTCTTGTCGTAAAGTTTTATCCCTTAGTATCTCTCAGCTCACTTGCTATCATGCCCCTGTCAGAGTCTGAATGCGAGGAGGAGGCCCAACAGGGAATGGGAGTACGGCTCTGTTTGCTGTGGAGGAGGCTGAGGAAGGGCACAGTCTGGCTGGTCAGAGCTGGGAAGACAGTTTATTAGAAAGGCAGGCTGCATGTGGCACGTTGTTGGGAGCAAACGTGACTTTATCCTGTGTTGTCTTTGCATATCTGCGTTTCTGGCCTCTTCCCAACCCTGTGAGTTTTGCTATGCCTTCAAGTCTGAAATTCTTGCTCCTGCCCTGCCAAATTAATTACTTCAGTTTGGCTTGTTTGGGCTTAATTTTCTGCAATCTAAGGCTGTTCCTGGGAGAGTTTTTCTCCAGCCAGAAGGTAACCCGGACACCGGGAGCAAAGTTGGAGATAATAAAGGGACTCTTATTGATTATCTGTCTGTGTTGCCTTTGTGCCACGCCCCAGGTCGTCACATTTGCTGTGGGAGCAATGTTGAGATTAGAACCACCTGAGTAGCTCCCTTTATACTGCCGGATCCAATCTGGGTTGGTTGTTGGGACCAGCGTTTTAGTCTTCCAAGTTTTTGGACTCGTGCCGGATCCCATCTTCAGGGAACTTCTCTCTAGCGGCATTTGTGCTTTAGGCTGTTCTGTGTGGAGTATTTATATGATGCCTGGTTGTGTGGGTGGTTTTCTAGTTGTTGATTGGTGGTGTTGATGACCGGCTGTTAAATTGTTGGCTGTTGTTTCCTTGGGCTACCAAGCCCTCAATTCCTAAATACTTGATAAGAGGGCAGTAAATGGACAAGGAACAATGGATGGAAACTAATCAGAGAGAGAAGCAACCTAGAACTGTTGGAAGAATTATCCTTCTGGGTTCAGTTTCCAAGTGGGGAAGAAAGACACTGGAAACATGGAGGCTGTTTGGAAAGATGGTTTAATGGTGGAAAGGCTTGGAACTTCTGGGTGAAAAGTGAAGAGATGCTGAGAGTGCCTGGGTTTTATGCCCTCTGTTGGGATTTGAATTTGGGCTTGTATTCTGATTGGTTGTGAGACTCCCATGGGGCCATGCAGGGGCAACTCTGTAGGCTCTACTCTACTCTACTCTACTCTACTCTACTCTACTCTACTCTACTCTACTCTAATTCTACTCTACTCTAATTCTACTCTACTCTACTCTACTCTACTGATCAGTCAATAGAAACACCGATTTGCTGACACTTTATTTAAACTAAATGTGTATATCAGTGATTGCATGACCTCTGTTGATGCCGTACGCTAAATAAAACAAATTTAAAAAGCAATGACTTTGATCTGTTTTCTTACATTATAGCTAGAGCCACTCTGTATCTAAGTTTATGTTCATTAATGTAGAAACTAATGAAGGAGTGAACAAACTTACAATTCAGGAGAAATTTTCTGACAGAACAATTAAACAATGGAACGATTTGCCTCCAGAAGTTGTGAATGCTCCAACACTGGAGGGTTTTTAAGAAGAGACTGGACAGCTTTTTGTCCTGAAGTGGTATAGGGGTTTTCTTGCTTGCTCAGGGGGTTGGGCTAGAAGATCTCCCAGGTGCCCTCCAACTCTGTTCTTCTGTGTTCTAACTCCATAGACCTTTTGGGACCATGTGATCACCTTTGGTGAGTTTCCCACTAGGCTTCCCATGTGAGCAAAGTCAATGGGCCAAACTGGATTTAACTCTTGTTATTCTGCCGAGTTACTCTGTTAACGCATTCTTCTTTTAACTGAATTTTTAAAAGCTTGTTGCAAAGGCAGTTACAGAACGGTTCTTGGTGTATGTGTCTTTGAGTTTGTTTCTGTGTCCTCCTGGCTTAAACAACCAGTCAATTAGTGAAAGTTCAAAGTTTATAATGGCACTGAAAAAAAAAATGATGCATGGTTAGTCCTTGTTAATTATAGCCATTGTACCATCCCCATGGTCACCTGATCAGAATTTGGGTGCTTGGCAAACTCCTGAGAAGCAAAGTCAGTCTCAGCCAGTCCTTGAGTATAGAAGATTAGTCCTGAAATGAATACAAACTCCAGCTCCTTTGTCGTGCAATGGTGGTTTATTCATTAGATCAGCAAACAACAAATACTCTTATCTGACAAGATAGGCTAAAAGCCAGGCAAGGTTAGAGTTGGGTTTGAGTTTGCTCTCTTTCCTTTTATCACCATTATCATGAGACACACCCCACCACACCCAGGTCTATACACAGTTCTAATTCTGGCCACGCCTAACCCATTATCCCTAAATGCTGTTAGCCCTATAACATGTCTAAATCCCTACCCTATTCCGACCCTCACTAACTGATCCCCACCTGGGGCCACCTTCACCATGTTTTAACCTAAGGCTTAATTACCACCTATATCTGCCCCAACCCCCTTTAACAATATGCACCACATCAGTACATGGAAAGAGCCATTTCCAGCAGCCCCGCCGTTGTTTCGGAATCCATCCTGCAGCCCTGCAGTTGTTGCAGAATCCATCCTCAGCTCTGCTGAGTCATTCCAAAGCCATCAACTAGCACACAAGCAGAGATACAGATCCAGCAGCAGCAGAGATAAGGTGACATGGCTCATAAGGTGATTTGCTGCGAGGCATATTCGGAGCTGACAGTCTCTGAGTGAACTTGGAGCCCAACAGTTAGTGAGGGAAGTGACAGTGTGGTTCATTTAGCAACAGCAGTGATTCGCTTAGCATCCATGACAAAATAAATCAAGCATGACCCACTTAATGACTGCTTTGCTTGGCAACAGAAATGCTGGTCCAATTGCCTCCTAAGTTGAGGACCACATGTAGATGCTAACCAATGGGCAGTCTCTCCAGATATTTTCTCACTTAAATTCAAAGCTTAATTCCCCAAGGGAGAAAAATCTAATCAAAGAAAGGGTTCTTCCAACTATTGTGGTAAAAGAGCCTCTTTAAAACCTAAGGCCTACAGTTTTTAACACTGTTGTGTTCACATCACAGGCTGTGTCCCCCCCAAAACCATGCTGTAACATATTACTGTCAACTCGTAAAGCAATAATCCTATGCCTGTTTTCAACTTTGCCATAAACAGGAGAGCGGGGGGAAACCTGAAAGAGCTGTACGGCAATTAAAACCAGAAGTACATTCCACGCTTATCTTACAAAGATTGTAGCCTAGGCTACCAGATCTTCTGCCCCTGAAAATCCTTCATTGGAGAATGTGATTGATGACACCCAGCTCATGAACTTGCTTCGTTGGAGAATCTGAGGGTTGAAACAGGGTCACAGGTGACCGTGAATTGCGTGTGGCAGAGTTGGCTTCATATGGGTCAATGCTGACCTGTTGCTCCTAATAAATCTTTTGGATTCTTTTGAAGCTTGACTTGAGGCTCATGATTTAATTAGGGCAATCGCCGGAACCCTGGCAATTATATGACACACAACAAGTTCAGGTAACATCTGGAATCTCATGACGTGCTGAACCTCAAAGTACCTAATCAAATGTTATCCTAGTTTAGAGTATTGTTCAAAGCCAGTATCTCAGCTCTAGGCTGACATCCTCACAGCAAAGACTTCACACTTAAAATTAACTGTCCTCTTTCTTTTTCCCTTCTTACCTTTGCAGAAAGGTGCTGGATATCACCTGGATCTGTTCTGGGTGGCTGTGTTGATGATCATCTGTTCCTTCATGGGTCTGCCTTGGTATGTTGCTGCTACTGTGATTTCCATCGCTCACATTGACAGTTTGAAGATGGAAACAGAGACCTCGGCACCTGGCGAACAACCCAAGTTTCTGGGAGTTAGGTATGCTGATCTGGTGGGAAGAGAGATTGAATACTAAGTATTCTAGGAAGCTGCCTACCAGGGCATTCTGTAAGGTCTGTAGGGGGCGTGCATAAGCACACCAACGTGCCGACCGTCCCTGTCCTATTGTTTCTTTTATTTTTCATATATGTATCCATGTACTCATAATTATGTTTTTAGTTACACCTATTATCTTGTAAGCCATTGACAAACCAAATAAATTAATAAATAAATTCTTCACAGGAGAGAAACTGTATTTTCCCCTGAACTGTTGGAGCAAACATAGCTTAGAGCTATGAGTCTTAGACATAGACGCGGGGGTCTCCAACCGTGGCAACTTTTAAGACTTGTGGATTCAACTCCTAGCAAAGCTGGCTGTGGAATTCTGGGAGTTGAAGTCCACAAGTCTTAAAAGTTGCCAAGGTTGGAGACCCCCGACTTAGACAGCCTAGAGTAGATTGTGGGGTCCTTGGTGCTCCCTGAACTTGGGTGGGTTTCTTGAGAGACGTTCTATTACCAAACTAGGTAACATCGTCAGTGTTAGAAAGGAGTGGTGTTTATGGAGAAGAAGAGGAGGAAGAGAAGGACTGTGGGGTCCTTGGTGGTCTCTGAGCTGGGCAGTTTTCTTGCAAGACGTTCTATTACCAAACTAAGTAACATCATCAGTGTTAGAAAGGAGTGGTGTTTATGGAGAGGAAGAGGAGGAGGACTATGGGGTCTTTAGTGCTCTCTGAGCTGGGATGGTGGTTTCTTGTCAAACATTTCATTACCAAACTAGGTAACATCATCAGTGCTAGAAGGGAGTGATGTTTGTGGAGAGGAGGAGGAGGAGGAGGAGGAGGAGGAGGAGGAGGAGGAGGACTGTGGGTCCTTGGTGCTCTCACAGCTTGGGATTTTTCTTTAAGACGTTTCATTACCAAACTAGATAACATCATTAGCGCTAGAAGGGAGTGATGTTTATGGAAAGGAAGAGGAGGACGACGACTATGGGGTCCTTTGTACTCTGAGCTGGGGTGAGGGTTTCTTGTAATATGTTTCATTACCAAAGTAGGTAACATCATCAGTGCTAGAAGAGAATGGGGTTTGCTCTTATTTTTATATACTATTGGCTTGCTCTGTCAGTATTGGTGGGAATGTTGTTGTTGGTTCCTTGGTAAAGTAGTAGATTATTGATTTAGCATGCCATAAGCTGCAGAATGTGGTGGAATCTCCAGCCTAGTCTGGAGGGAGGTGTTAAGAAGGGACCAAGCTTAGAGTCTTTGCACTGGAGAAAGTGTCACAGGCCTGACCTCCCCCTGAATCCATGAAGCATTCCTAAGAGAATAGTCCATTGGTGAGATTCTTGTAACATAGGCAACCAGCAATAAAGCTTCTGCTTGAGACTATTTACAAGTGGTTCTGAGTGCTTTGACAAAAGTCTTTGTTTAAAACAAATTGGTGGCAGGAGATAGTGGCTCTATCTATCTATCTATCTATCTATCTATCTATCTATCTATCTATCT